CCAGAGGATAACATCATACCTTTTTTGCTAGAAAGTTTTCAACTTTACTTTGTTTGTACATAAAAATTTCAGTAATGAGTTTGACAAATCGATATCCAGTAACTTGTTTAAGACAACACAAAGACTTCCTTAATTTTCATTCCTTAAACCATTTTAGTATATACTTCATCCCCTTTCTAAGTGAACTTTTCCCCCCACAAGTCTAGTTGTGTACATCTTTATATTTTAATTATCTTTAAACAATTTTATTTACTCACAACCATTTGTAATGTACACAACGACAAGCTATCATCTTAAAAAATCATTAGTGATAAGAAACAAGTATCGTACCACATGGATTAGACTTCAGAACTTAAAGTATAAAGCATAGAAACTGTGAATTCAAAGAATAATGATGGGTTTGATCTGTTTAGAACTGAATTAACAAAAGCTGGTAATGTGGTCTAAAGTTCTTCGGTTTCTGGTCCACTTTCAATAGCATAATTGTTGCATCATAAAAAGGTGACAACAATTTGTGTCACTCTATTTATTATATCATCTCTAATCATTTGCATCACTTCTTGTATCAAAATGGTGTAAAATTTGATTCATCTTTAATTCATTACACCATCTTTAACACAAATGGAATATTTCAAGTATATTTCTCATTCCTAACTTCTATAGATTTCAAGAATACTTTTATATTTATTAGTTGTTTACAAATATGACTCGTATTTTTTATTACTACTATGTGTTATTTATTTTTCTGATTATGGATCTTTTTATTTTCTCATATTGTAATATGCATGATAGTGAAATGTTTTATTTTAAATATTTTAAGTGAATTACATTTTTGGTCCCTCATCTATACCTGCCTTTTGTTTGTCCCTACAATTCGTAGGGTATACTTTTGGTCCATTTTCGTGTTTCAGAGTCCAAATTAGTCCCTCCTCCTGAAACCATTAGAATTGGCTCCGTTATGTCAGTCATGTGCCCCTGCCATGAAGGACATTTTCATCTTTTTACCCTTCTTCTTCCATAAGAACATTCAACCCTTAACCATCACCACTTCCACCATTACCACCCACCAAGATTTAAACACAAAACATAAATTCAGATTCAATTCCAAAAACCTAAATTAGATTCAAACCCAAAATTAAAATCAGAATCATAAAAATATTAAGAATTTAATCAAGTTTGAATTCATACAAAAGAACAAATTACATAGAAAACCCTAAAAAGTTCACCAAACTAAAAAAAAAACAAAAAAACAAAACATAAACTGAAAGAAGCAATGGATCATCTTCATCTCCATTTTCTCTTCATCATACCCTCCTGAATCTGGTTTTGCATCTTGATTCACATAAAACTCAAGAAAACATTTTAACTAAAAGAAATAATGGATTATCTTCATCGAATTATCTTCATCTCCATCTCCATCTCCATCGTAGTGAATTTGGATCTATATTGTGATTCATACAAAAAACTAGAAATCTCAATTTGTTTCTAAGGATACCTCAGTTGATGAACCTCGATTAGGGTTTTCATATGGCTTCGAATACCATATCTGCATCGAGGGGGCGAGGCTTACAGGAGAAATCAACGAGGCATGGTTGAGGAAAACCTTACTCTAAGTTGGTTGGAGAAATGGAGTGATGTAAGAGCATCTCCAACTATATCATCAAAAAACACCAAAAACACCAAATATGGTGGACCCATCAACACTAAAAAACTCAACTTCAATCATCCTCTAAAAAATACCAAATTTGTGGACCCACATTAAAATAACATATTTTATTTACTATTTTTAATAAAAATAATTATAATTTGTAATAGATATTATAATAATAAATAATTAGTAATTAATTTATATAATAAAGACCTGTTAAAATAAAAACGATAAAACTTTAATTTGTAAATTTTTACATTAGAAAATTAAATTAATTCAAATAGCACAAATTAAAAAAACATATAAATACTACTAATTCTCCGAGTTAGTATACTCGTTCCACAAATGATCAATTAATGCATTACGAAGTTTAAGGTGAACGTCTTTATCCTTGATCTTTTTGTGTCGAGCAAGAAACTGTTCAAGTCCACCATTGTTATCGTTAATTATCTCAACTCCCACGTCTTGCACTTCACTTCGTTATTCAATTGGTGCATTAATATCATGTTCATATTTTATGATCATATTATGCATAATAATGCACAAAGTCATTAATATCATGCAATATTTCCTTCCTACATAACCGTGCAGGTCCTGCTACTTGCAAACCTTGATTGTAATACGTCAAATGTATGATCTACGTCTTTTCTACATGCTTCTAGTTTCTTTGCAAAATATTGTTTTTAAGGTCATTGTGAATAGATTGAACAAAAGTGACTCATTTTGAATATATGACATCAACTATGTAATAACTCATATTATATGATTTTTCTTTGATGACATAATTAATAGGAGGAACGTTACATGCTGCAAGATTTGCAAAAAGATGGGAGGACTCCAACACTAAGATGACATAATTAAAAAATATTCGTGTTATTAATAATCTATTATATATATATATATGTGTGTGTGCGTGTGTGTGTGTTAATTTATATTATTTAATTGAAAATGGGGGTGGTCCCCACCTTTTGGCTATGCAAAGATACCCGACATATATGTTGTCTATATATGTTGGCCGACAAAACAAAACCTAAATTGTCGGTCGGTTGGAAGGTGGTGATGGGCAAATTCGGACATTTACCGGACGGTTGGAGATGCTCTAAGTGAAGAGAAAGAAGCAGAGATGTAGAACCTGGTTCGTCTGGGTAGGGATGAAATTCTAGTTGAGTTTTTTTTTCCTGATCCAGAGTTAGAGGGTTGCCGGAGGAGGGTTTGGGTCACTGCGGACAAGGAGGAGGTTTCATCCACCGAAGATTCAACAGGGATTTGAGGCGGGGGTTCAACGACAATTGAGCATTCAAGGGAGGGGGTTTTCTGCACTTCTAGTGTGTCACGGTTTTGAGGAGAAGAAATATATGTTTTCAATTTATATTATATCCAATATACATATCTATAGTGTATAAAATATATATATTTTAAATTGAAATGTGTAAAATGACTTATTTGCCTCTCATGTGAAGGGACATAATGCATGTAATAGAACTTTTTCTAGCAACGTTAATGGAAAAGACTAGTTTAGATTGTGAAACACAAAAAAAAGATCAAAAATATACTTTACGAATTATAGGGATGAAAACCAAAAAACAATCATAGACAAAGGACACAATGTGTACTTCACTCTATTTTTAAAATACTTAACTTTGTAAATAAGTTTGAGACAAAAAATAAAATTAATTATATATGATAAATTAATATAAAAATATAATTTATAATACTATATCAACAAATATATGTTATTACTTACAACTAAATAAACTAATATCACATAAATAAAAAAAAGTGAAGGACCATAATGTAATTAAAAGAAGCTTAAGACATACTATTCATCTAACACCAAAATAGTGTAAAAGTGGTGTTGAACTTTGATGTAAAAATAGGTGTTGGTCATGGTCTTGGTAAAAATAAACTAGTCAAAGATGATTAATTTATGATGTAAGGGGAAAATTCAAGTAAAAAAAGACAAAATAGGTAAGAAGCTTAATAATTAATAAATAAATAAATGATTCATATGTGAAATAATTGGTAAAAGAGAAATGTAGATTTACATATGTATCTTCATATATAAGTAGTTGGTAAGTAAGCATGAGTTCATATATACATCTTCAAATGAATTTGTTTTCAGGCTTGCTAAGAATCATTTATTCTTACCATTTTTGTCTATCATGCAAATGTTAGATTAGGATTTAGGAAGACGAATATGGCATTAGTTTAAGCAACTATACAAAAAAAACTCCTAACTTTTATAACAAGTCCAAATACTTCTTACATCATTCAATAATGTCGCAATTGTTAAATTCATTCCTAAGTCGCAACACAACTTTTAACACTATATAGTAATTAGCTTGTCTATATTCATTTTTCGTCCCTCTTATGAACAAAACTAAAACAAAATGTTACCTCATATTGCAACTATAAAGTGACAACCATAATCTACTTTTATAAGATTGTGTTTACGCCCATACCAGTTGGATTGTAAACCGACCTTGTAAGAAAGTAACACAGAGAGGAGAACGAGAAGATATAAACACTTGAAAACATACTTAAGTTACTTCCAACAAATATAAGTTGAGTTACTTTTCCGATTTCTCCAATTAAATTTCGACATATGCACATATAAATTAAATGGTAGTATGGGAGAAAAAAATGATAGCATGAGAGAAGAAAAATGATATGTCAACATGTTATCAAGAGAATATAGGGGGAATAAAAAAAGGGGTAACAAAAGAATTTCTTTTGCCCCTCCCCCTTTTCGTTAAGTGTGTTATTACTTACATCAAAATCAGGTCAAATTATATATTGAAAATGTAAAAATGATGTCTTGATTTTGATACATGATATGTATGCATCTAACAAATAATAGGGATAAAAAGGTTTTGAGTTCCAATATCTAAGTTTTTAAAAATAAAACCTTGACACATTTCCCACTCCACTCTTAAGAAGAGAACTTTAGCAGCACGTTGAAATTCGATCTTTACATATCTATTTGACAAAACAATCCTTGATACTTCAAAAGCACTCTTCTTTTTGACGTGATGATTAGTAACTTCTTAAAACAAACACAACAAAATTATTAAAATAAGCACTACGTCAAATTCATGTTTGTCGATCATCAAATCTTAAAAAAACATGTCTAGTGATAAAAAGATACAAAAAATTCCACCTCTGAAAGTGTAAGCATGCATTATAATTGTTTTTTTTTGCATTATATCTTACATCAATTACGTATATAATCTTCATTTCACTTTTCCCTCAAACTTTGCTTGTTATAAACACACGAGAGGTGTGATCTCAACGAAATCATAGGTAAAATACGTCAACAAACATATAACAAAAGTCGCATACACTTGACATATCTTCTAAAACCTTGTATACCACTCATGCCAAAACATCCAAACCATATCATACATGCCCATTTCGTTGATCTAATCTTTCATAACAAAGTCACTGTTGCAACTAAAGCAAGACATCAGTCATGATTTCCGAAAGAACTAGACATATTGCATAAAAACTTGTCTACACAACAAAAATGGTCCAGAAAAAAGCCATTCAAAATTGGAGGATGCAGCCCAGATATTCTGGGCTACATCCTCCATATAGTTAGGTAAGCTAACTTCAACATATACACATAACACCATGCACCACTTGGGATGGACCATGATGCACCGAAAAGTGGGGTTGGACCAAACGCTTTTACATATGGGCTCGATGCAAAAACAAGTGACCTCCAAATCACAAGGAGGAACAACCTTTTCGTTGGTTGTTTTCAACGGGTGCATCTCTAGAGGTTAGTAACTAGTGAGCAGTTGATTGTGCCAATTCATGCATGCCACCAATGGGGACTTCTGCATCGTCTTCATAGTCCGTTTGATGGTCGTTGTCCTCATAATCGAACTTATTGAACATGAGACTGGCAACTGCTCTGTCAATTACGTTTGTTTTTGATTCTGAAACTTCGGTTTCTCCAGACCTGAGTGCCATAAAATAAGATGCAATATTAGGATTAATCCATGATATTTATGCAAAACGTCCTTCCGCATGAACCAAACAAGTTTAGAACAAACATATGTGGCCGTTAGCCACACAAATTTAAGATGCATCATATACCATGTAATTTTGGAGGTTATCGAAGATATATGCTCCCTCCATCCAATGAACATATCATTTTTTTGGTAAATTTCTATGGTAGAGTTTACTTATTTTTTTATTTTTATTTTTGTAAGGGTGTCCGGGCCAAAGCCCGACTAATCCCCGGCAAATTTGGAGGCTAAACATGGCCTCACTTAAATGTCGCCAACACTCCCCTTCCAGGGCTCGAACTTGGGTTAATGACTATGCCATGCCCAAGCCTTTACCACTAGGCTGGAAGGTCTTTGACAGAGTTTACTTATTTGTCGGTCAGTATAGTTAAGATGTTGATACTACCGATTTTATCTTGAGAAAATGTCAAAATATTTGAGACAAAGGATTAAGATAGCAGACTAGATGTGGGGGGCCCTGTAGCTAGTGTGGTTGGGCAAAGAGAATTGTAGGGGGGTGGGGGTCTTCATGGAAACAAACACTTTCCTCTTGGGGGGTATAGGTCAGGTCTACGTACGTCCCAATGTCCCCACCCCAAAAGACTCTACTTTCGAATGAGATTTACTGGGTTTGTTTGGTTTGGGGTTTTTTATGTGATTGGTCAAAAAGTGCAATTTTCATGGGACGGAGGGTTTTTTAGCAACTCTGCACTTTCTTCTAATACAACGCCTTTGAGAAATCAGACTCTAGATGAGATACTCCCACTACCAAAATGAACAGTTTATTCGTTCAAAAACCAAAACAAGAAAAAAGGTGAGATTCTAAGCCCAAACCAAGTAAAACCGTTCAAAAAATGACATCACTAAGACACCAACTTGTGCTATTTTTTTTGTAACAAAGACATAAGAAGAGGGTCCAGTTCTTGTTTTCGTGCTTAATGGAAAACAGCTTAATTTCTTGTCAAAACCACCCAAAAACTGCAAAATTTGTAAGCACCCATTACTAACTACGGTGGCAAGATTACAAAGTGCTAAACTTGGAGGATAGAAATGTAAATTTACTATGTGAAAAGAGTATGGATGAACAGAAGGTTATACACACCTCAATGTATCATCATTAGAAGTCATCATAGGTTCTCCATCTTGGCATGAGTTTACTGATTGTTTGGAGCTTTCTGCAAGGCGGTAGAAAGCATCTCTAAAGCAAATTCGAGTTTTGTCTGTGAACTGATAAATTCAACACAACGATAACAAATGGTTATTATCGATCTTCACAAGTTTGCGCAAATTCGAAATTCCAATTCTACCCTCAATATGTCTTACCAGTGCAGTCACCCTTTCAAGATCTTTCAGCACAGATTCTTCCATTGAGTTCTCGTCATTTGTATATTGCTAAGAAAGATTAGAAACAAACATCAGCCATTGCATTCAGAAAAGATGCTGAACATTTCACAAAGATAGATTTTGCATAAAGTTTGAAACTTCTTTTTTTTTGGGCATTTAAATTCATGACAAAATTTGCACCCAATCACTGAAAATCAAAATGTTCATCTCACCTCTGGCATTTCATAAGGAGTTGAAACTTCATTACTCCAATCGTTTGATGGGGAGAACGCATGTGTTTTGAGATATTTTGAGCTTCCGGTGTTTTGTCCATGGCTTCCAACATTCTGTGAGCTTACCATCTCTCCCTTGAAGATGTTAACATTGTTGTCAAGCATTGTGTTGTCATGGGACTCCGTTGAATCTTTAGTTGGATCTTCTTCAAGTAACGAACTGCTGCAAGAGAGAAAGTAGACCATGAGAATGCAAATATAAGAAGACAAAATGCATATTTCTTGAAGAAAGTCAAAGAATGAAACCTCATTTATCAGCATCCCTCTAAGTTATGATTCACACTATGTTAGGAGGGTAGTCTTTCTATGTGAAGCCCCTTTGAGAAATATGTGAGAATGTAGAACCCCTTCAGATTACCCTCTAAAAGAGCCCTTACAGAGAGAAGAAGGGGGGGGGGGATGTTCCTACATATATACATGTTTTTGATGGTTCGTATCTAACTGATGTGGGAATATTAACTCAAGCCCACAAAGGCTTGCCCTCAATGACACCATAGTCATAAATGAAAATAAGATTTCATGTGTGAAAATGGACCACAAAGAAGAGCCAAAACCAGACCTCACCAAAATCCGATTAGTTTCTTACCATCCAAAAGAGTGAACCCTTCAGAACAAAAATGGAGCACTTGATCCATTGTGTCATTCCCAAACACAACTTCTTTTAAAAACAATAATAGTAGATGATGATGACATGTGATATACATTAAATCAAGAATCTTAATCCCAAAGGTTGAGCATGTACAAGAAAAGGTCATCCATGTGATTGATTCTGGCTTCTTCCTCTGTAAATTGTTGAAAATCTGCTTGATCATTCCACAGAAGGGAACCACCATTGTTGTATAGTCCTTGGTTCATGCTTGAATTGTTGGATTTCTGTCTTCCATTGTTGGAATCATCCATGTCAATTGAAGTGTAGAAGTTTTTGCCTCCATTGAAGGTGAGTTCTTCGCGGGTCATGTTTGCATTTGCATTCGAATTGTAGTTCTTTTTTGGAAAATCGGAACCCCCAAAAGCATTGATTCCCCATTGTGACCAGCTTTCTGGTGATGATATCATCTCTGGTTGTTCATAATCCTTTGGAACAACAAGATCTTCAACCTCGTTACCGAAATACCACTCCATAATATCTATCATCACAAATCAAACACCAAAAAAGAACCCATCAAGATCAGAGATCAAAAACACTCAGCAGCTCAAAGAAAAATACATTCACTCCCACCTGAACAAGCAAATTGAAGATACAATTCTTAACATGAAATAACTCAAAAGATTATGGATTCATACAAACTTTTGTTTAATGATTTGGGAAAACAATGGTTAGCAGAGGGGATGAATATTGGAAGATGGTTCATCAGAAAACCAAATTTGTAATTGATTTTAGAGAATCAAACCAAGTAATATGCAAATTGGAAATTCTGCATTCATATTTGTAGTCTTTTAATTTCATTATGAACACCCTTCATATTGTAAAATGATCTTTTCAATTTTGAAACAAAAAGAAAGTCCTTGTCAAATTTGAAGTCAAGACTCAACTATACCTAAAAATCAAACCATTGAAAAAAATTGGGCTTCAACTAATTTTGGATATCAGAACATAAAAACCAACTGGAAAGAGCTTGATTGAACAGATGGAAAGACCTTGATGAACAGATCTAAAAGAACCCATTTGATTTAGATTACAAATACTACAGTCAAATCATAATCACTGGCTTATAAGCTCCAAAAAGCCAAATGAAACAGGAATATTAGCATCAAAGCAACCAAAATGTTTCAAAATCCAAAAGGGGCAAACAGAGCAGCTATCAATCAAATAAGGATGAAGAGAATCACTAAAACATGGCCCACCTGAAGAGAATTGAACAAAAAGAAGTAGGAGTAATCCAGATCAAAACAAAGTAATTGAAATCAATAARTCAAAAGGRTTTTTYGGAAACTAAATAGGAGATAGAGATAAGAAAGAACATAAGCACACTGAACTTGCAGAAACTCAACTCAAGAGAATCGAATCAAAAAGTGGATAAAGTGAAAAATAAAAATCAGATCAAAACAAGAAATTTCACACAATAAACCAAAAGGGGTTTTGAAATCCGAGCTAAAAGATAAAGATAAAGAAGAACATAAACAGTAAACTTGCAAAATTAACATAACTCACCTGAAGATAAGAGAATCGAATCAAAAGTGGATAAAATGAAGAGTCGGACAAAAACCCAGATCAAAGAAACAAGATCTAAAGCTGATGGTAAATCAAAAGGGTTTTCTTTGAATCAAAGCAGCACAGAGAGAGAGAGAGAGAGAGAGAGAGAGAGAGAGGCGGCTGTGGGTTTGTGGGTGGGAAATTGCAGGATTATGGAGTATGGATTGTTGTGAGGTGAGAGAAGGAAGAAGAGTTTTTATTTGATTGTGTGGTGAGAGATTTTGTGGCTGAAAATGGAGGGAGGGAATTAGTGGTTAATAAGACACCTCCATCTAAATCTGCGCTCTCCTTAATCCACGTTGGTTTCTGTGGGACCAACATCCACGAATCCCATAGATCTCTTTTTGCTCATTAATTATACTCCTTTTGTCTAATTATTATTATTCTTAATTAGTATTATTCTCTCACATCTCCCAACTCAACCAGCCAGTGATTATTTGAAATTCCATTATCTGATCTGAGCTGATTCAATCTACTCATTGAATGTTGGTTTTTATTATCTGCTTTGATCCGATTAATATTGAACATCTAATTCGATCTGAATCTAATGAATAATTGAATCATATATATTTTATTTATTTGATGTTAATATTGCTTTTGCTATTGGATCAAATTGGATTCGTCCAATCTTTCGATCTAACACTCAACAATTAATCCATCATTTCAACCAATTATTCATATATTTCATTAAGTTATTAAAAGACAATGTATAAAAATATCAACTAAAAACAATATTGTAAAATGTTAATAATTATATATAGTTATTAATTGCATATTAGTTGAATGATAATTGGATGGAGGCATTGGATTGGATCGGTTTTATCGGATGCTAGGCTGCCATCCAAGAATCAACCGATCCAATTTGAATGTTGAAATTTTGGATCCGATCTAATTACAATTGGATATCCGATTATGTTCGATCATATCTAATTGAATCGGTCGGTTTAAATTGGATCAGATGACTTTTTGCATACCCCTAAACTCAACCATTAAAAATACTAAAAATGGCAAGTCTATTAAAATATTAAGGTTATGTTTCAAGCTAGTTGATTAAAAAATTACGTTTGACAAAACTAGCTTATAAACATGTAAAATGATTGAAAAGAGCATTTTAAAAAATTAGTCAATTACAATATTTCATAATAAAACTAAAACAAATCTCTAATAATATGATATGTTAATTAATACAAACAAGATAATAAAAAATTAAATAATATATATGTTAACTACTTTTTTTTTTAAATTGATTACTATTGTGATTATATAACACATATATAGGCGAAGGAACGTGTGAAAAGAAGAGTTAATCTGAAAAGCGTAAGAAGATATGTAGATCCCTAACGCTTGATACAAGAATTGATCTGGTGCATCTCATCCTAATGTGCATCCGATAGTGAAGATCTTTTCTTACGTTTTTAACATTAACCCTTCTTCTCATCGGTACCCAACCATACAAACACACACACTATAAATTTTAGATTGTTAAAATAAATTTTAGATAAAACCTAGATTAATTTATGTTTTTAAAGAACAATTACATGTAATATGAACAAAAATAATCGGTCAACTTCACATATCCTAGTTAATTAATAACTAGTTGTGTACACGTGCAATGCAGCGGAATGTAACATTTCATTGTTTTCGAATATATGACGATGACTTCTCTCAGAAAATGGCTTAGAAGGCTAAAAACAAAAGAAACTCACAACTTGGACACACGGTTGAAGATTGACATGGATATTGCTTAAGGACTTCACAATGTTCATAAGATGTCTACAAACAAAAGCAATGGGATTCCAATATTCAAATTTTCCAAAAGAAGCATTGTTTTTATTTTCATATACTCCGTCAAGCTAAGGGAACTACTTTTAAAACCAAATTATTACAAACAAAATATTTAGAAAAGAGTGCATAAGAAATATCGATAAATACTTTCTAAGGTTGCAAACATATTGCAGTCTTCGAAGTTGGCACTTCCACAACCTGCATTAACACATTAGAGAATATTAAGCACAAAAATCCATCTTTGTAGTTTTTTCAAACATACGACATAAGATAAACCACTCACTCGTAGAGACAAGAAAACTCAAGGCTGCAACAAGCTTCTATTGCATATAGAAATAAAACCTAAAATAGCGGCAATAAAAGACCGTGATAGTCAGTTAACAGATAAACAAACTTGCAAACAATAGAGCTTTATCAAAATCATATTAACCTGCGTAAACTCATCAAAACTAAGAAAATTCATTATTGTAAATCCAAGTCACTCATCAAAACTTCTAATTGAATAACTTATTTTACATTTTGATCATCTTCCAAAGTTCTAGTTCTAACAAATTTATTCTATGATGGAAAGAAAACAGGAACACGTGTAAACAAATCCTACCTTGATCGAAACCCGAGTCCCTACAGAAGTTTAGTGAACTGCATTCACCTGTCAAAACAAATTATTATTCTCATAAGCTTCTTATATTCATATTTTCCAAACAAACTATTAAAAACAATAGCTCGAAATAAAAAAAAAATATAAGAAAAATGATAAAACATAGAAACAACAGCAGCAAGCCCAATCAAACCTTTAGCAATTGAATGAACAAACTTCCTATTGGATTGCACTGATTGTTCTCATGCAAAAATAAGGGCATTAAACTGCATTAACTTTCACACTATGAGATTACCAAGACTTACACTAAACTTGGAGGGGAAGATACAAACTAAGACCAATAAAATTCAATGTATGAATTATTGGATTTTCCTTTTCAGATGATTCTAGAAGGAAGAAGAATGGAGGCCTAGTGTTGGTTGGTCATTATTGGGTTGTGGCCAAATGGTGCAGTTGCATCTACCAAAATTCAAGGGGTTCCTTTCTGACGGCCCCAATGACCAAGATATATGTGTAAGATCAGCAGGTTCTGGAGTGTATTCGCTTGAAGACTATTCTCAAGTCTCTTGAAGATTTTTAAATTCGTGTGATATGGCAACAAATGTCTAGAGTTCTATGTAATACAACTAATGTTTCCCTTTGCGGTGGAGATGCAGCTACTTATTGGAATCCCAAGTCAAGGGGGGTTTCAAATTTCAAGTATGATGCTCTTCTAATATTAGAGGACCATGTAGTATTTGCAGTCATTTCGTTGAGCTACATATGTTCTGGTTTGGTGATTTGCTGCTTCTATTCGGTAGCGTTTCTTCATTGGTGGTTGTAGGCCCTTGTTTATGTTAACAATATTAAACAATAAAATATAGCATATCCAAAGACCAATCACACTTCTAGGAATTTAGGGAAAGTCATGGCTTCATCTCTCTCTCTCTCTCTCTCTCTATATATATATATATATATATATGTATATATGTGTGTGTGTGTATGTGTATATATGTATGCATGTATTAAGGGGTCGTTTATCAAATGTTTACTCGGGTAAATGCTTATCAAGTCACATTCCCTTACCGGATGAATATGGTAAGGACCAAAAATCTTACTTCGTATGAGCGAAGACAAGGATCGAGAGTCTTACCATGTATAACGCTCATAATTGTTACATATGACGACGACATTATTCCAGCTAAACATTCATTATATGCAAACAGAAAAACAACTAAACTTGATTGTCTTTAGAACATCTCTTAGGGTTGAAATGACCTCAAATGGTGTTGCCTCTATGACATCATCATCCTTGTTAAATTTTGAATCCTAGAATACATAGAAAATCCTTATACAAGCACTGTTTTATCAAAGAGTATGGTATTAATGAAAGTAAATTCCATCCTATTTCCTATATATTGCATCTCTAAATCTTTTAGGATATGAGTGGATGATACCTTGAGATGATCCACTTGGACCGTAAGGGGATTGTCATTGACCTGTCCAGAAGAACAAATGCACTAATAGTATACCAAAATGCAGGTTTTCAGGGGCAATGATGGGTTTAACAATTTTATATGAAAAATACCATAAGGTCCTAAGCAAAGAAAATGACAATAACGCCCATGAAAGTTGATCTGGATGGACCCAAATGGAACCTCTAATAGTCCTTTTATTCCCACTTTAATGCTAAAAAAATCAAATAATAGATAACAAATAAATAGTTGTACTTCAATGGTGGTATTCTAGAAAGGTCAGTTAAGGTAAAGTTACAAAAAATTCAACAAAAAGTATAGACCTAGAACCCCCCTCTCTCTCTAGAACTGTAAAAACCAAAACTTTACTCATAATGAACACAAGTATGAACAGTAAGGGTTTATGTCTTCTATAAAGACAATGTCTTTTTGGGTTCATGAGCTTTTGCCCAATCTTGACTCCATAAACCCTAATTATAATACCTCTTATAACAACCAAACTTTTAGATTGTAATTGTAAAATATGAAAAATGGGTATGTGAAAATTTTGATTGGGGAAATAAAACTACTCAAAAGATGAAGAATTTTGAAGAGCAAAATGTTGATTTCTGAGTTGTACATGAATGGTAAAACATATAATTTCACTATATATATATAACCTGTTCTATATATATAGAACAGTAAAAAACAGAAATTTACTTATAGCTTATGAAGACAATGCCTTTATGAATTGATGAGTTTTTTCTGGATATAATCACTACATATATAATATTGATGACATTGGTTTTGGTCGATAAGTTTTCTCAATGTTAGCAACATCAAGGGGCAAGGGTGACGGTATATTTGGTAAAGACACATTGGAGATACATAGACTCATGCTCAGTTTGTTTTGTTTCTGGTTTCGAGTCAAAACACATTCTAAAAATCTATCAACTATCACATACCTGAATCTGGAAGTATCTTAAATCATGAGATATCTGCAAAAGGAAAATGAGCGATCTGAGAATTTTGTACAAACTCTGAAGGCTAAATATGCCATGTTCAAGAATGTCCTTACTTCAGTTGTCCATGAATGGAGTGATCTTATAGAATATCTACATAATAATGAAATTTCCAGAATAGGCATACATGATGCAACATAATTGACAATCAAGCATATACATATCTATACGAAACAATGGTGGGAGGAATTGTCTTTTGAAGTCTGATATGTTTCGCAGTTCACGATTGTACCCTAGCATCTTCACGAACCTTAGGATGTCGTCGG